TTCAGATCACATGTTTAATAACCTTCGGGTTTAAGGGTTGCAAGAGCATTTTAATGCTCCAGATTATTTGTAGAAACCAGAGGTTCTCCACGAAAAGAGCAATGCGGGAGGCAATGTAGAATATCCTTGCAGCAGGTATTTCAGGCTCTCTAAGATGTGGGCAGATGATGCCCCCAGTTCTTCTCGCCCGGGTAGTTTGAGTAAACCACACTCACTACATAACCATTTATCACTTTGCTGGGGTTTCCCCGCATTTCAGAGAGAGGAAAGAGGTTCCTTTCTTGGAGCAACTAAGTGCACAGCACAACACATTAACACAAACCCACCCTTAGCCGCTTGTTTCAGAAATCTGCCATAGGAGCAGCAGCCTCAAACAGAGGGGATGAGCACACAGGAACATCCTAAAACCACTTCAGCAAGGTTTGCCAGGGGTTGTGGCTGGTCGAGTCTCAGACCGTAGCTCAGACAGCAGACGCAGACATTCCGAAGACCTATCTCGAGGAGAAGTGGCATGGCTTCCCGTGTCAATAAGATTTCTAAACAGCAGTTTTACATTACCACTTCTTATACTCAAGAATTGGATTTTCAATTATTTCGGGGGTGTATTCATTAGGTATTAGCTGGAAATCAGCCCTGATTTCAGGGCTGATACACCTCAGCTAGTTCTCATTTGCAAGCGGGAGGACTGCACTCTGCAAATCTCTTGGGAAAAGGGAGGTCGACAGGAGGGACTGGTTCCCGTTCCTGCCACCTCTGTGCTTCAGAAGACCCCCTAGCATTCCGTTCGTTAGCACCTGGACTCTTCTCCTTACCTGAACGCTTCCCTGCGTTAAAGCTTCTTACGAGACACCAGCGCAAGGCAGAAATAATAAAATTAACAGCAAAGCAACCTAATTCAAACATAGTTTTGCCACACTCCATACAACTATTAAGTGTTGAATCGGAAAGACCGCTGTGATTTAGGGATGAAAGGTCTATGTGAACGACTGACTGCGAAGAAATTAAAGATCAAAGCACGTGGTTGGGAAAGGAAGCGGCTGGCTGCAAATCCTCCCCGTGAGCGGAATTCTGCTACTTACGTCAGATTTTTGTTGGCTTCAGCAAGCTACAGGAGGAACCTTTAATTAAAAAACATAAGCAACAAAATCATTATGTAATCAGTAAAAAAAGCCCCAGATAAGTACGAGGTAGGGGATGAGCACATTTCTGTTGTGGAGACTATACTGCTCCGTGGGATTCCTTGTCCCACTGGACTGTACCACCCCGGCAAGGAACTTCCATTACCCTGGAGGTTAATTCAGCAAGCTACAGGAGGAACCTTTAATTAAAAAACATAAGCAACAAAATCATTATGTAATCAGTAAAAAAAGCCCCAGATAAGTACGAGGTAGGGGATGAGCACATTTCTGTTGTGGAGACTATACTGCTCCGTGGGATTCCTTGTCCCACTGGACTGTACCACCCCGGCAAGGAACTTCCATTACCCTGGAGGTTAAAGCTGCCAGAAACAAGTCCACAGTAACTTGGAGCTAGGCATAGCACCGATGGGGTACATCACTGCTCTGAGCCAGGG